TTGCGAGGATGATTTGTGATCAGCTAAACCAGCTTACTGTTGATGTATTTAGCCAGTGACTACCTGGGATTAGTGTGCTTGTTAGGCTCAAGAATAAAATCGGTGGCTACTCAGTAGTCGATAACGTTGTGTGGGAGCCATACTAACTTTGCAATTATCATGAGTGCTTAAATAAACATTATTTGAGAACTGGAACAAGGTAATCAGCGTTTACATGTTCATGAAAGTGTGGGTACACCTGGCACACATAACAATGGTACTTGTGTCACACCTATGAAAGGTGTCTGACAATATAAAGAAGTGAAGAAGATAGGAAGTGTACACAACAGAGCCTAGAACATCAGATTCATACAGAAATCTATCACGCTTTAATGTCTCAGAAACCAAAATCAATTGACTAAGCAACATTAACATAAGTTTATTTCAAAACAAAGTATGCACTTCACTGTCCCCCACCCAAAGCAAAGTCATAAGAGTGGAAGCAGCTATTACCTGCAGATAAAATAGAGTCACTGCAAACACATATATTTAGATGTAATCAATATTTACTTCAACTGTACAAAATGTTAGGATGCAATTCTGCAGCAGAACCAGTTCTCTGAAACATGTGTAAGATAGTAGATGTACAAACAAAACACAACACCAGTGAAAATTGACTGAACTTAAACCTGAGAGTTGATAGGGCACACAATCTACTTGTAGTAAGGAGATTATTAGTACATCAAGGCATTCAGAGTGAGAAATGACACAATCCCATTGATTGTGGGAACAACACTATAGATTACTACACAAATAAATGAGAGACACATTTATGTACATTCCTCAAAAGGCATCAGACATGAAACAACTCAAAGATTACAACTCATGTAAGATAAGGGAATGAAAATGTAAACAAGTATAAAATGTACATTATTAAAATTATATATCAAAACAAAACACAAAAAACCACACACACACACAAACAAACATGAAAAACAAACTTCATTAATGTCCATGCATCATGACAATGATCGAGTACATACAGCCATATACACTTTAGAAAACACTGAAAAGCCTGCAAGCACATCCACAATCACACACCTCAAAGCCCACTCTAATGTCTCCTCAATGAAGGCAGCAAGTGGTCATAAACATAGATGATTACAAGTAGATACTCATACATTTTTTTGGGGGAAAACAAGATAGTGACAAGTCCAGTAAAATATAAACAACATTTCTTAAACACTTCACTCATTTTTGCTGTTTTACATATTGTAGATGTTCTCAAAGTGTTGTGAGACAATGAATATAGTCCAATCTTCTGATCTGATGTATTTTGGTGGTTCAAGGACCCACATGGAAGGGCATATTTGGGGGGGGGGGGGGGGGGGGGGGTTTAGAAACAAAAACCTACAGTGGTAGACAGGGTAGGAAGATCAAGATAATCACAGATAATAAAGCAGAACAGATTCAAGTGCCAAACTCTTGCTAACATTTATTTTAAATGTCTCACTGATCTAATGCTCACCAAGGTGATATAAATAATGGATTTCTAATGTGAACCACAAAAATAAACGAGCCAAGACATCACTGTATGACATACACATTCAACAACAATAAAGAAAGGGGTGTATTTGAGACTGTGGATTTAGGCTCATGCAGTCTTCGGGGAATGTGTTGGTTGCCATTTTATTTTTCCCCACACAGACAAAATTTCACAACTGCAGGAATTTCACCTTGAAGATAGCACACAAGAAAAAATGCATATCACTGCATGCCAAACTACGGTACACAAGCATAATATATTTATATTTATATCACAAAAGAATGCATGCCCAACCTCGTATGCTCTGAATATAACTACGCAACTAGTGAAGCTGTTGGCATGTTTACGCTTTCCACATAAACATATGGATCAAATGTAAAAATCTGCTGCAAGTGACATCTAACAGCTTATGTACATGTGATTTCTAGCAGTTCATGGACTTCTTGTAATGTGTTACGTGTTTTTTTTTTTTTTTAAATGAAATTTATGTTAAATAATTGTTAGCAATTTAGTGTGATATATAGCAGTTTATGTTATGTAAATCATTTATGTTGTATGATTTCTAGCAATTTATGCTACAGGTGATTTCTAACACAGTTTATGTCGTGAGTTCTACTAATTTATATAGCGTGTGTGATTTCTTATGTTACAGTTGATTTCTAGCAGTTAAGGCTGTGTGATGTTTTCTAGTTTTCTACAGGTGTTTCCCCCCAGTTTCTTATGTGCTTACCAGTAATTTATGTTACATTAATTTCTAGCAATTTATGGTACGTATTAACTGTAATATCTAGCAGTGTGTTGAGTGATTCTTGTATGTTATGTTGTTTGCAATTTCTAGCAGTTTTTGTACCCTGATGAATATGTTATGTGTGATTTCTATTTCTAGCAGTTTATTTTACATATAATTTTTAGCCATTTATGTCTGAGTTATAGAAATGCATATTATCCGTGAAGTATTTCTAGAAATATGTTATGTATGAAACATTCAGCAATTTACTGTTATGTGAAATTACTAACAATGTACCTAATGTGCAGTTTTTTTTTTATAGCATTAAATTATATTACACTCGAAAAACAATCTGCCACACTTGACTATATACTGCTCACAAAATAATTTATAATTTCAAAACCTCAGATTTAATTACATAACAAATTAGTCTTTGTGGTCACATTGGGCCGAATGTTGCTGTGTTTATCTGAAGCTAACTTTCTTCTTGTCATCACTTTTGTTAACTAGATCACACTTGTCTTTTGTCATAACTGCACCATTTGGTGTTCCAGTAGGTTCCAGTGAGACAGCCTCCGAGGCATCTCCTAGCAATGAGCCTTTGCCGCTGTCAGAAGAGGAATAGTGGCTAAGTCTAGGCAGAGATTTGACGCTGCCATCAGACATGTAACTCTCGGCAGAAAACAGGCTATCGTTGCTGAGTGAAGCCTGCAGTGTCTTGGGTTTTGTCGACGGCTTGAGGGCCGATTCATAAGATGCAGTGCTGTCAAGAGAGGTGCTGGATGTTGAATGCTGGGTCAGATATCGGCCGGACTCTATCCTCCTCATGACTGTACCTCCAGATATGGAGGAAAACATTGAGACAGAGTCAGCGTCTGACACTACATCAATTTCCTTCTCATTTGGGGAGGCAGCAGTGCCAGCATCCGAGTCCTCCGTCAACAAGGTCTGATCTCCAAACCCATGAGGTGGAGGCAGCAATATGTCCAACAGATTCCCATGTGGCTCGGAAACAGGACTACCCCTGCCTGGATCAGGTGAATCCTCTACATGCCAATAGTTACCAGGCTCCAGTTTAGCCAGACAAAAATCTCCATCAGGTCCCTGTACACTCACCTTTCCTTCCCATTTCTGTTTGATACTACACTTTCTCCCCCTTTCAAAATCATCTCGTCTGCTGCTTCTTGAAACCGAATTCGCCTGATCATCCGCAGCTTCGGAAATGGCAGGACTTTGTTGACCTACTTCTATTCTGGCTAGAATCTGCCGTCTTGGAGTCTGTGGTTTCTTGCCCAGCTGCTGATTTCCACTTGCAGGAAGACTATCTCTCCTCAGTCTACGACTATCAACATGTTCTGTTCTGGTCTGACTGTTACTGTCAGTCTCAAAATCACAAGTCTGGGCTTCACATGAGGTGTTAGGTGCACAGTTTTCTTTCTTCAGTGTGTTTATAAGAGCACTGGCATCATTTGCAAAATTGTTAATAGTATTTTGATCATCAACAACCACCAGTGACACTTCCATATCAACAGAAATAGGAGCAGCAGTTGTCCTGCTACAGGAAGGCCTGTCCTGGATGAATCCTGCAAGATGATCTTCGCTTGGCTCTGTTGAAGCAACTGCTGAGGTATCTCTTGATGTATGCTGGAGGAAAAGCACAATTACAACATCAATTATATCAACAGCGTCATAAAAGCTGAATCATTAAACTCTTTGTGAACAAAATCACCACTTTAGTGGCTTCTGAATCCAATCATATTCGGAGGAATAGCCACTCAAATGGCTTAGCACATCAAAACTCAGGACAATGATAATAAATAGCACCATATGATATATGGCACGACAGGACAATGATTATAATGAGTAGCACTATATGATATATGGCAGGACAGGACAATGATGATAATGAATATTACCATATGATACATGGCACAACAGGACAATGATGATAATGAATATCACCATATGATATATGGCACAACAGGACAATGATGATAATGAATAGCACAATATGATATATGGCACGACGGGACAATGATGATAATAAATAGCACCATATGATATATGGCACGACAGGACAATTTGATAATGAGTAGCACCATATGATATATGTCACGACAGGACAATGATGACAATGAATAGCACAATATGATATATGGCACGACAGAGCAATGATGACAATGAATAGCACCATATGATATATGACACGACAGGACAATGATGATAATCACCATATGATAGATGTCACGACAGGACAATGATTATAATGAACAGCACCATATGATATATGTCATGACAGGACAAAGATGATTATGAATAGCACCATATGATATATGGCTCTATCTTCAAAATGAGTGTGACACACACAATCATGATCCCCTTGTCCCTCCCCACTGCATCACTCACACTAGACTGTGTTAAGTTGTGCAGAGCTAGCCAGCCTGTCTGCCTGATAATTTCCAACACACCGGCATCACACAAGTAATGCTGTACTATAGCTTATATCCTCCAGTTTCAACAAACTGTTCAAGTTGTTCTTTTCCAGCCTTTGAATGCCCATACAGTCATTACAACCCACTGTCTATTTCGTATCACCTGAGACCTATCAACAGCTAACCCACCACCAGCACTGATTGCTCTTAAGGTCACTAAAATGCACAAGACCATCTGATCTTTATGTGAGAGTCACATCAGATGGTTCACAGGAAACAACCAAGAAGGACAAGACAAGAATGTTCAACAGCTTACTTTACTTGCACGGGAACCACTCATCCTCCGGAAGAAACTGATGCTCTTGCTTGGCTTGTCCTGGGTGGCTGGAGATTCAGGTTGGGTGGCATCTGCATTTGATCTAGGGAGAAAAGCGGAAAGTATCCTAAACAAGAGGAGAGGCTAGGGTTCTTGAAGGCTTCAACAACCTTAGGGTGACAACACAGGTACTGTAGCCACCCTAATTATCAAAAATAACTTTAAAAAGTTAAGGACCCCTTTTTAAGCCAGTATTGTATTTATTTTCTGTTCTATTCATCGTCCATGTCTAGCACTGATAGCATAAAGGATGAAGATGCTATTATCATCTGCTGTTTTGCTGGAAGGGAGACACTTGGACTAACCGGCAGGTGACAGTATCGGCCCTCGGCATTCAAGTCTGTCATCTTCTGTAAATATGCTTTCTAGACATTTGAATTCTCTCTTATTCAGCAGTGGTGGAAGAACAGTCACTGAAGTTGGTAAACTGAACGAAGAAATTAAAATCTGATGCAGTAAAGCAAACCAATAATTGGGACTGTAACCCCCCCCATATGTCACTCCCAATCAGCATAAAGAAACAGCTCACACAAAGCATATTGATTCTCACCCTGTGCCAGATATGCTCGCTCACAACCAAACAAACACAAGAATTAGTAACCATGAAAATGAGGTGTCTGAGAAAGACTAGGAGTGACTAGAAGAGATGATATAAGGAATGAGGTCACACAAGATCAAAGTCAGCACAGAACCAATTCTAAATTACAAATACAGCAAATCAAATGGTTTGCTTACTCGGAAAGAATGCCTTCTGATGCTATATCATACAAGGCATATATGAAATGAGGAGAGGGACTTAGAGCAAGAGGTATACCAAGAACAATATAAGGAGAAATTCTATAGCACTACAAAATATGAATGGTCGAAGCAGGACTTTATATCTTCCTCCAAACCTGAACCGATAAAAGAGAAGATTTCAAGGGCCAGTGTGGCGTAGTGATCAAGCCCAACTGCCTGGTACTGAGGTCATGTGTTTGTTTCACGGCCATGTCATTCGGTTCAGAAACACAACTTTTACAAAGATCCCTGGGGAGCATTGCCAGCACTAGAGAGTTTGTGCTTTGTGTGACGCTCCCGGCTAGCCGCTCTGCAGTGAGTAACCTGGATAAAACTCAGTTCAATGAAGTCCTGTCACTGGTAACCTTAGTTTTTTTAAACGTAGCAAGCAAGTTGGAGTAGATACAAGCTTACACAACCGGTCTATATTATTCTAAATGGATGTAAACCTATCACTCACCTTTTCATCTTGCCAGGTGTCGATTTCTTGCTTGGTGAGAAATATTCGTTCAGTTTTTTGCGACAAGTCCTAGAGCCTAAAGCAGGCGTGGTCATGTTTAGGCTGCCTGACGCAGGGGCTGTGACATTTAAATCTGACGGTCTAAGCTGGGCTAGAAAAGAAGAGAAAAAATTTTGTTAAAAAGGTGCGAAATCAAGTGTTATAAAGCCAAATTTAATCAGTGCAATCAAAAGAAACTTGTTATGAGCGCACTGATGATTTCCTATGCTAGCACGTCATGTGTTCTGTTGTTACTACCTGTATCAGGGTGGTGAGGGGCAAGGGCATAGTGAGTCTGGGGATTACCAACATGCCTAGTGTGCAGACACCTTAGGCTTTTATTTCTGACACATGCAAACAACATGTATCCCTTACTGCAGATTCAAACCCAGACTTCCTGAATGAGAGATTTCTTGATCATTCTTGTCAGCCAATACTCTAATGCAATGGTTCGCAAATGTGGTTATTTGCACACACTAAATCCTCAACCCTCTTTGTTTTGCAATTCTAATATCTCACACCACCTTGTGTTAACAAGACTTGTTTATAAAATACGGGGTCAATTGGCAGATCATTAAAAAAAGACTGGAGCCCTTGGGCCTTACTAAATTTGGAACTACTGCTATAATGTGTTTTCTTCCTGTTTATCAGTCATAAAGTCTAATTCTGGGTGTTCGTCTACCTCACTTTAGTCGTGTTCCAAGTATTGCGTAGTTTTACTGATCTGGGTTATTTGTATGCAGATGGCTAGTTCCTTGCCGCTCGGGCAGATGCACTCCGACTTCGAAGAAAGCGCTTAGTTAGATGATTCTAAAGACATGCCTGTTGTGGAACAAGTGGGTCTATTATTGTTTTCCTCACAACGGGGACATGAATCCACACCTGGATTAATGTGTTGTATAACTTGTTACTTTTGCTCCTGAAAATCCACCTCGATGAAGGTACATAGCTGACCAGGTCATGCTTACTACTTTGAAATGTTCACAAAACATCCAGTTTTTCCATTGATTTGATTTGATTCAAGAACCGACATCACAGCACTCAGGACATTCCCATAAGCCCTCCGTCCCTATCTTTAGCAGCCAGCGAAGAGTTCTGATACTAATGGTGCCAGTAGCATTCTAATTAAACGTCCGTCTTGCCTTTCCTCTGAGCATCTGCCAGAACCTCGTCACTCCCCGCTGCATCAATCTCACCAGACTGTGGTGATCCATCTGCTCCTCCGAACTGTACACGCTCTCCCACAAGGCACTAACCACGTCTGCCTTATCATGTACCAGTATCCCACCAAGTTGTGCAGAGCCAGCCAGTCTGTCCGTGTATGTTACAGGACAGCTGCAACCCAATTCACCAGCCATGGACTGACCGCCTTCTCCCTCAATGCAGTCAGTAAGATGTCGTATCTCACTCTGTTTTAAGCATCCTTGAGATCCAGTCCTACCGCCATAGTTTCCTGTCAGTTCTGGAACCCTTCAAAGACGTCAAAATTTGCCATATTTTCCCATGTGTCCTTTCTTGGGAGAAGCTTCCCCCTTTCCAAGAATTCTTGCAGCTTTACAGCAACTATCTTCTCCAAGAGCTTCCCAAATGTGTTTTGTAAGGTGATGATTCTAAAGCCACTGAGCTTAGAAGGATCTTTAAAAGGTTTTGGTAGTGGGATTAAATAGCTGTGCACCGAGTCCTGCGGTACTGATGCTGTCTTAATGCTCTGGTTAAAACAGTCGGCCATCTCTGCCAGGTCTACATCGTTCAAAGCCTTCATGTGCCCTGGTGCAGTGTCTTTCAACAAAATGTGTTATCTTCCACTTGTATCATGTCTTCATAATGCATATTCTTCGAGGTGTCAGCTAACTCCTATCTAACTGCATCCCTGATGTCTACATCATTATGATCTGTCTGAGCTATAAAGAAAAGCCTCCCCTTTCTCCTTGTCTGTTGTTACACGCACACCATCGTCTCTACAAATTGTTCCCACTGTCATAGGCCGATCTTTTCTTTGCATCTGCCTTTGCAGTTTCCAGAATTTCCCCAATATTTTACCACCTCCCATATTGCTCTTTTGGTCTCTGCAGCACAGCGCTTAAAAACCTCCACCTTATCTTTTTTCACATTTTTCGCCATCTCCACTTCATCTCGTGAGCTTGAGGGTGTCTGTCGTACTTTCTTTAGCTGCTTCACAGCGGCTCTCTTTGCCTTCTGCGCCTGTTCTACTTCTGGAGTCCACCATAGGGGCTGTAGAAAATTAGTTCTGGCAGTTCTGTTGCATGCTCCCTGTCTGAGGCGTCCAAGTAGGTTGTTGGTCCACTTATACCGGAAGGTCTTGCTTGCTCTCCCAACCTTAACCTTACTGGGTTTAGAAATCAAGACTGAACATGGTAGGTGATCACTCCCATGGTCATTCAGGACAGTCTATTTAACATCTAAAACTCTCTAAAAATGAAAGGACTTACTGTTTGGGTTATAATATCCTTTCTTTAAAGTAGACGCAGGTGTGAATGGAGTGGATGCCAAGGCCGACCTCTGTGGCAGGTTACCCAAAATAGCTTGCCTGTTGAGCAAATAAAACATGACAAACCCTTATATCTTTTTATGTTCACTCTCAACCCCAGTAGTCTTCATTTAGATGATGGACCTCTATAAATGTCTTTTCAGTTTGGTTTCTGACGGAATGATAACAGACCAGACCTAGTATCTTCCTAATGCAGGCAGGGATTATATATATATATTTTTTAATATAACAGAAATGCTAACTTGATAATTGTTCAAATCTCTAATCAAGACTCTTCTGTCAGATGTTATTTTTTTTTTGAACCAATTAGGTTTAGGGGTTTTCATATTTACTTATTACCAGGTGCAATCAAACAAAAAAAATCCACTTATCCGAGCTCGGCTTAAGTGGACTCGACTGTAGAAGCAAAGAGCTGAACACATCAACAGCAGGACAGGTTCAAACAGTGTCAAACAAAACAGGTTCGCAATGTTTAGAGGAGAACAGGTTCAGTAAACAGTGTGAATCAAAACAGGTTCGCAATGTTTAGAGGACAGGTTCAGTAAACAGTGTCAAACAAAACAGGTTCGCAATGTTTAGAAGGAAATCTCAAATGACAGGAATCGGTTTCAGTTCTGTGCCAGGACACTCAGGACTAAGAGAGAATGAATGTGCAGACGGGCTCGCTGGCAGGGCCAGTCTCAAGGATGGGTAAGAGATGAATGTGCACTCTCAAATATATGTTCCTAACGCAAATAAGCCCTTATGTGTGTAGTATTTCCTTCATTTTTGAGATGACTATTACAGTTGCTCAGTATAAAATAACTGCATCTGATAAATTCTGCAGATCCTGTTCACTGTCCGCAATCAAAACTGTATCATCTGCATATCCTACATATTAGCTCGGCCCTCTAGCGTAGCTGACTAAACCGGATTGCGCGGTGACCGGGTAACGAACTCCTTGTGGTCCGGGTTCACGCTGGGGGTAGGCAGAAAAGCCCCTTTTCCGGTATTTATCATGGAATCATGGCCAAAAGGTTGTGATATCCATAATACCGAGCCTAAGGGTTAACAACTCATGGCTTCTGGATACTAAAACAAACAAACAACCTACATATAATGTGATGCCCCCCCCCCTCCCAACGCTAATTCCTCTCACGCTGCTTAAACACATTTTCGTGTAACACTGCTGTGTCCTCCTTCTGTTTCATGGTATTATTAACTTATTCAGATGTGACTGTTTTATTTGAAAGTAAAGGGTTATTATTAAGTCATCTCCTTCTGAACTTCTGTGAGTAGAAAGAAAATGTAAACTTTTAAGCACAAAATACTGATGACTTACTTTTTAGAAGTTGAGAATGCTGTACTGTCTGTACACGCTGGCCTTCTCATAACACAGGGAGTTGTCGTGTTAACTAGCCTCTCCTGGTTCTGACTCATGGAGTCGTTGGTGACCAGCGACATGTCCTCTCCACTGTTGGTGGTCATGTTGATGCTGGCCGTCATGTTCATGTTTGTCATGTTGATGCTGGCCGTCATGTTCATGTCTCCGGTCATGTTCATATCTCCGGTTATGTTTACAACCGACGTCAAGTTTATGCTCTTGCCATCATTGCTGCGGCGCAGTTTGGCAAATCCATGGGCCAATGAGCGTTTAAAACCTGAAATTGTAGAAATCTTCAGCTCAGCTTTCAAGCATCCACAATAAAATTATTTGAATTGGTTTTGGCAAAACCTAAATAAAGGCAACAGTGATCCTTTCAAAAGACTAGTATATGAGGGGAAGTCAATGAGCAAGTTAAAAATAGCAATAGGATAGCAGGAAAATGTAGTTGGTAGTTTCTAAAGGTGTCATTAGGTGACAGCAACATCGAACTTTATGTCGCATTTCTTTACGTGACGCCAGGTGTTGCATGTGCAACACAGAAACAAAATGACGACTGTACTTAAGGAGTGTACCCTCAAAGAACAATGTGCTGCTGTGCGGTTTTTTTTTTCTGGCAAAAGGGCTGCCTACAAAAAACATGCATAAGGAAATGTTTCCTGTTTATACTGACAAATGTTTATCCCATAAAGAATTTTTGTCAAAGACTGCTCTACGATTGTTGATGTCCGATCTGGTCATCCTGTTGAGACTGCAACAGACACATTTGTGCAACAGGTGGAAGAGATGATTAAATGTGTCAGAAGAGTAACAGTTGACTCTGTAGCAGCTGCAATAGGGTGTTCACATTGTCTTTGGTCCAAAGAAAACCCACCTTGTCACTTGTTGCATATAATGTGGTGGAGTGATATTATCTCACTGGATTGGGCAAGTTACTCACAAATAATAAGTCATATATATACATATAATATATATACATATATGTATATATATATATATATATACATATATGTATATATATATATATATATATATATATATATATATATATATATATATATATATATATATATATATATATGTAAAATTGATGACTACAAGTATTTATCACTTAAAAGGTCAAACTGACCCCAGAAAATGCTCGTCAGAAGAAAGCCAAATTAACCCCCTAAAAAAATGTAATGCGGCCATAATTTGTATGTTCGCAATGAATTCTCATCCTTTAACTTCTTTCAGGCAGACAACACCCCACCCCCCCCCTCTTTCAGAGTTTTTTCCAGGACCACTCCGAACTCTGCAACAACTAAACATACAGAAAAGCAAAACAAAGAAATCCGAAGACAAAGAATAGACATACCTGTAAGAGACCCGCTTCTTTTCCTCTTTTTCCTGGAACATGGTTCTTTGTTTTCTTCTACGGCATTCTCATCATTGGCTTCCAGCTGTTCATTATCAGCTAGGCAATTTTCTGACATGTTCAGCTGGGGACAGACAGTTTTGGTTATAATGAAATAAAACTCACATTTTCTTTCAGAGGGGTGGACTGAAACCCTGACTGACGCATTAACTTAGTCAATGGCTTGATTTTTAAAACATGCCAAGAACTGAAGCCTCATTCTGTCACAACGTAAACAAGATGACAAACAGACCCCATAACGTGCCTAGCAAGACTGCCCTCTCCTGGAAGAGCTGCGAAGGAACATCTGGCTACATCCAGTAGACCTGACAACTAAGTTTTGGGAAAACCTAACAGACCAGTTTAGTGAGTTGAGCGACTGATCAGAGATTGATGGAGTCATTCTTGTACCAGTGACTTGGTCAGTTGACCAGAATACTAGTTTCCACACAAAAACAATAAGCATCACCATGTCTACTTTGTCAATGCTCTCTTCTCAAAAGCAGCCCTAAGCCAAACATTAAAAAGGATCCTTTTCACATCTTGGGTTTGTCTGACATCTCTGACCTGGCCAACATTTTAGACTGGGTTGACCTGGGATTTTTAGAAAATCTTTCCTAATGATGTGTAAATTCTGAAGGGGCGGGGGTAGAGTAGACCCACTAGCTCCTTATCAAACATGTCATAAAAGGCCACTAATTAGGGATTGGAGTGCATCTGAGAGGAAGGGAACCAGCAGAGAATTCAAATAAGCAGATCTGTAAAACGGATATGGGACAAGATTAGAGTCCATAGGTGGGCAAACAACTAGAACTTTCCACTAAAGTTTACAGCCGGTGAATGTTAAGAAGAATGTGAACCCATGATAACCAAGCCAATCTCAACACACAAGACAAAAACTCTCAGCTAATGCAACAGAACAAAGGTTTGCACAGATGTGGTAAGATAACTTATTACAGTAAGAAGGGATTCCCTATCATAGCTCATATTACCAAAGATAGATTTTACAGAATGATTACCCTATTATTTCAGAATTACCACACTTAAAATTTATTTGACATTTAAATAATGCAGACAAACAATACATTGCACAATTTATTGCCAGGCATATTTTGCTGTATCTTGTCAGGTCCGTTACTACAGTTAAATCAACATAAAATGAAGCACAAAACTGAATAAATCCAACTGAACTGTGAATAGTCTCTTCCGACACATTGTGTGTGTGTTATTTGGCTGCTGGAAGCTCACCGTAGTCACGTGACTTACTAGGGTAACTACAAATTTACAATAAATTCTGTCTTGCTTACAAATAAGGGGATTGTTGATTTTAATTGTTAAAGCTTCGCCCATTCTCAACAGTCTCCTGTGTGGAGTGTGATAAAGACATTAACAACCTATACAGTTAGGGCACATACTGACATAAGCTCTGCAATATTGAAAAATCCAAAAAATGAAACCAACCGTAAAGCTAACTCAGAAAACAAATGGCTGAATACATATGCACATATATCCTAGTTATGCTAGACAAAACCTAACTACATCACTTTTATAAACAATAAAGAAGAAATAACCAGCAGAAACTGACAAACATAAATACCCAATATTTTTTTTACACTTAACATATCCCAGACGGAACTGAATTTTTTTCTTGTAAGACTACTACAGACTTGAACATCAACATAAAACTGTACCTGCTGTATGATATCAGAGCTAACCATCCCCACCAGCTCCCAGTTGGAGATGAGGAGTTCAATGATGCTCGTGTGGATCTGAAGCAGCTTCTCCTCTCCTGAATTCATTCTTTCTTTCCCTTTATTCAGATGCACCAGGTTTGGAACCATAACTACAGCCAGGTTGTTGGAGGTCATTTTGTTGCGGTTGTTGTTGGCTGCAATCCTGCTCAACAGGTGCATGATGTAACGCAGAGCTCCAATATTTTCTAATGGCAGCAGCAGGCATAGCTCAAGCAAAGCATGTTTCTGTTGATAGAAAAATCTTTTACTGTGTGGCTGCACATAGCAGATACTACACAAGAAAAACACAGTGACACATTAATATTTAAAGCATAGAAAGGAGAAATTTATACTTTGCTAAAATCAGTAATTACTGCCATAATGTGGGCTAATAAAGTGCAATAGTTGGGACACATAGAGAGGATGTCAGACGACAGAGATAAACACTGTGTACATAGAAGAACAAAAGTTTACTTGAGAGAAGAGCACAAAGCAGAAAAAGAAAACGTTGGCAAGAAAATACATCGATGTACATTTTTTTAAAACG